AAGGCTAGTTGCTTACCTTTTTTAGTATGCCTTAAATACTAATTATTGCATTAACAAGCTTTTTAGAGAGAGAATAAGTCATTAAAGTTAGCTTAAGGAAACATCCAACTCGCTTAGATGGAGGAGTAAGGTATCAATTTTATATTCAAGCAAAAGTTTTTATTATAGTCTCTCTTTTTTTTCTCAGTCACCCTCTATAGATACTTAAATTGAGAAACTAAATATATACCTCATATACAATCAAATCTAAAAAATGGACAAGAAGACAAACTTCTTGTTGAAGCAAAGACAAACCAATACTCGCAAATTAGTCAAGCTCTAGAAGAACTCTCTAGCCATGTTCAATGGGACTCATAAGATAGTTTCAAGGATAACTTATTTGTCAGGATTTTACATGTTCAGAGTTAGAAAGACTCACACACCAATTAGGAAAATAATATCTATTAGGATCAATAACTCACCTAATATTATCACCTGACTTGTCAAATTGATATAGTTTAAGAACTCACCTATGTTTAAAGGAGTTACTTGACCTATAATTCTAGGAGAACTAATCACACCTCTACATCTTAAGGCTAACTACTAATCCTTGTCAGAGACTATATTCAAGTTCCATGTATGTTGTATTTTTTTGTATTTATTGCATATATATGTTAATATATAGTGCTTGAGACTCCAAATCCCCATATAAAAATGAGGAATCTTTGAGAAAGTCAAAGGTTAAAGGCAATACTATTTCAGGTTGTCATTGTTGTCTGCTCTCTAATACAAGTTCATAAGTGTGCAGAAGTTGTAATTCGATAACTTGTGTAATCCTTTCCCACCAGTGGGACAATGAATTGTACATGTAATCGCTAACTCATAGTAGAACATCTCAACTTGGCAAGGCCCTGGTTTTTTCACTTTTTCGATTTTCCACGTAACAACTTCTGGTTTAGTCACTGTTTTCTTACTTTATTTAAGTGTATATGGAATTTCCGTACTACGCTAAGACAATAATTATTTACTCTACCGTCACGAATCTCCTAACACGCATCAATTAAAATAATACTTGCAAAGTATTCATATATATTACACGAGATTACTTTATTTTAAGAAGTTTTTTATACATAGCACTGAATTCCTATACATTTTCACTCCTAACCTTCAAATTTTGAGCTTTTATATTTATATTACTTTATCCGTGCATAAAAAAAATATTTACCATTTAAAAGCCTTAGAAGCCATGATTTTTATGAAATATGAATGATCTGAATGCTCTAAAAATAAAAATTCAAATTGACTGACATGTAAATATATAGAAGTTGTGTGACGTGTTAAAATGCCCTTTCATTTTATTATTGCATAAATTTGACCGTTATTGTCTACTCTTTTATTGCTTTTGAAGATGCATGATAAATGGGAGGAATTCATTGCCATTCGACTCCTAGAATAACTTTAACTGACATTTCATATGAATTTAATAACCTAACAATGCAAAGCTTTGTAACATTATGACCCTATGAAAATCTTAATATATTACATATATTATTTATATAATAATATATTATATATATTTATATCTAAAATCAAATCATAACACCTTGTGTGGTAACGTGGTTTGTGTTTTTTTTTTTTTCATACATCTAGTCCAGGTTCTAATCCAACACTTTACATCTATTTTTTTCAATTTAATTTTAATGAGTCAAGTTGGAGCGTTGGAGTCGAATGCGGACACGAATATTTAAATCTAGCCGAACACGAACACACTATTCACGAGCCAATTTCGAACACGAGCCAGTTTTGAACACGAGCAGTTTCGAACGAGCCAAGCCTGAGCTCGCTCAAGCTCCACTCAAGCTCGGCAGGGTTATGAGCTTAATTCCACAACCTTCAGCTCGATTCAAATGCATAAACCATACATGTAACTTACAGACTCCACCCACAAATCCAAACTCTATAAAAATCACCCTCACCAACAACATACATAATTTGTCATATCAACAATGGCGAAATCAGCAATAGCATATGCCATCCTTTTCCTCTTAGTTGTCAGCACAACAATACCAAGCGCATCATCTTTCCTGCTCCTGCCTGACATCATAAAGTGCTGGAAAGCCATAACCGAGATAGAAAACTGTGTAGTAAAGCTTATGCCTTCCTTCCTCAGCCTGAACATAACTCTCACAAAAGATTGTTGCACGGCCATCACACACATTGAAGATAGCTGCCTTCCGGCTGTGTTCACTTTCCCGGTGTTTGGCTCGCAATTGTCGAACATAACGTCGGCTGTCTGTGGAGTTTTGGCATAAGATGTCTTCTGGGTTTGTTTTGAATAAAGAGCTTCCTGCTCAAATGTTGATGGTAGGTGTATTGATTGATTAAGAGCTTAATGGTGGTAGTTTTTGTGGACTGGTTTAGCTATAGATCAATTGTCTTTTTGGTAAAGTTTTGATGTTATTCTCATTGTAATAGAACAGATTTGTGTACTTACGATTATTTCTTTAATTTTTTTTTTTATTTTTTTTTTTTATGATGTTGATGATTTTATGATGCAGCTTTTCTTTAATATGAAACTGTGGAGCTTTAATTGCGTAATTGACATCCGCTGTCCAATCAGGGAGAAAAATTTGCATGCGTAAGACATACGCAGCACTGCGTACGTCAGTGAGGTTATTTAGAGAGTATTGAGGGGTTATATCTGCGTTATACCTCCTGTAACCTACCTGTATCATACTTGTAACATACCTGTAACCAACAGATATATGAAAACAGAAGCGCGGAACTTGCTAAAAGGTACAGGTAGGTTACAAGTAGGTTACAGGTAGGTTACAGGGAGGCTACAGAGGGTATAACGCGGATATAACTCCTCAATACCCTCTTAATAACCTCTCAGAGCGCTGCGTACGTCTTACGTACGTAAATTTTCTCCCAATCAAGACCACTGAAATACGCCTTTTTGATTATTATTTTTTTTAGTAGGGCCCACTTTAAATTTTTTTACGAGGACACAATCACAATAAAAAATCAAAACTGCGATAGAATAGAATGCACGAAATCCTTGCGAAAGCGAAATAATAGTAACCTTTGTTTTTTAGTCACTTGCTACAAATTGCCCTCGTATATTTGCTTAAACGAAAAAAATTAATTTGATTTTGCAAGTCGACAACTTGCCATGTAAAGTTTGGTTGATAGAAATAACTGAATGACATCATGAGACTTCTATGGAAAAGCTTGGAATTTTAAGAACCATTTACTTAAAAAAAAATATATATCTATTAAAATAGCATTTTAAGAAAAATAAAAATAAAAATAGACAATTATAAAAATAGCATTTTTTTCTTAAATATTGTATAAGTTTTGGGCCATTTACATACATACCATAGAATTCAGTTGTATTTCCATATCTAACACCTAAACTTTGACTTATATGCTACTAAATCTATTATATGCAAATTTTATACAATATTAAGAAAAAAATGGACAAACCTATAGATTAAAAGGGCAACTTTGACCGTAGACTAGTTATGAACGTCGAATGAATCATAGCTTAGTGATTAAAAGTGAGACTTTGCCCATCTACTTGTCAAAGCCGGGTATGAACAATTAACTTGGTCGGTTTTTAATTTTTTTTAATGTTGTTTTATTAAAGTTTAATTAAAGTACATCAATCATTAAGACTTTGTCATGCTTCATATTAGGTTTGTCAAAACGGCTCGTTGTCACGAACAGTTGGTGTTCAGCTCGTTAAGAAGCATGTGCTCGACTCGTTCACTAAGTTAACGAGCTGATATTTGTTCGTGTTGTTTGTGTTCGGCTCGTTTTGGCTCGAAATACTATTAATCAATTATACATATATCTTTGATGAATAGTATTTTTCAAAAATTTAGTTGACTACAAGGCTATAAATATTTATAATCAATTAAAGTTATTAATGAAGAAAATATAATAAAAAAATATTAAATTAGATTCAAATGATGTTTTAAATCTTGCCCCAATCATTAACATCTGATAGCTACGTGATTAGGGTTGTCAAAATGACTCTTTGGTCATGAACTGCTCGTGTTCGACTCGCTAAGCAAATGAGCCGAACACGAACACACTTTTTTTGAGCTCGAAATATAAACGAGCCGAATCGTTTACACCCTTAAAAGTACACCTCGAAATATAAACGAGCCGAGCACGAGCTAAGCGTGGGCTCGCTCGTGTTCGACTCGTTTACACCCCTACTTCAGATATATACCAAATTACGTCACATGAAAATTCCATTAGTGAGGATCGGAGCACGATAATAAAACCAAATGAAACTTAGAAGCCGAGGAAAATTTTATCAGAAAGGTTCAAGTGTTCATGTAAGTTCAATCAATATTGTAATTTTGGATTGATAAAATAATACATTAATGTAAATTGAAAAGAAAATAGCAAAGTTTAGAATCTTTATTAAGTAAATTTGAGAAGTAAGTAGTCCAAATACAAAAGATAATAGAAATCATCAACACACTTCTATCAAATCAGCATCAAGTCTATTATTTTTTATGATTTTATTCAAATTACAGCTAGTAAATAATTCATAGTACTGATTCCAAAAAGCATAAAACATAGGAAATCTATATAACTTTGTCCTTTCATATGTGGACAAGTGTTCTTCAATCTACTGGCTAAATTTGCACTATTTCATTAGGAGAGCAATTCTATCAAAATGGGGGAGAGAATAAGAAGCAAATTTTGCTTCATTTTGTAGGAAATTTATGATGGACCAACAACCATCTTCAAGCCATCACTTGAGAAACCAAATAATGAGGAATTTTACCTCATTTTCATTTTTTTTTTAGTAGATAAGAAACAAGTCTGAGGAGAGCATAATAATAAAGATGTTTTCAAGTGATTATCTCTAATAAATACTTCAATAATAAAGCTTATAAACTATAATGACCATTGAGGTAAGGACAAAAAGCAATAGTGCAACCTATAATATACTTAATAAGTAAATTGTAAAGATTAATCACAACTACTCTCTTTTACAATTTTTTTTAATAAGATTTGAGAAATTAAAAGTTTATTGTGAATTAAAGTTGAGAAACCAACAGACTAAATTGTACGCATCGAACAATCTAGAACTAAAATATCCTCATGGATATATAAATATAGTCTAATTTTTTCTCAATGGATTGCACTAATTACACATGAAGTTAATTGTGATTTTCATGGGTAAAAAACTTTAAATAACATTGGGGTATAAATAGAGTAAAAATTATATTTTAAATATGATGGATGGCTTGAAATAATAGAGATGAATTTCATCTAGCTCGGGATAGATTTGAATTGCTAAATATCATTCTCTATAGGTTAAAAGTCCAGCTTCTAAAGTTTGGCTTCATCAATAGCGATAGGACATACTTGATAGAGAACATTGATTGATGTAGACGGAGAAGTATCACTGATGTCTAGAGGAGATTGACCGACTAGTTCAAATGAAGGGAGGTTGACCTTGAGAAGAACTTCTAAATTGAAGCCATAATAGCAATTAGAAATCAATCAACTAGGCGAAAACAGAGACGAGGCGCTTGCAACTAGTATGTAAGCAGAGAAATGTTTGCTTTATTAATTAAAATTATCATGCATTGGTATACGTCTTTATGTTAAACTTTGATTACCATAAAGAAGAGAAGAAGAGCTTGCAACCGGAGGTGTCCGTAGTCCTATTTGTCGTTACTGTGGTTATGACGAGAGGTGCAGCACTTCTTCTGGTCTCAAAGGTAAGCTCCGATTTTCTTCGGAAGAAATCTATTAAAGTAGTCTTTATTTTGTATGGAATCTACTATCTCAGCCATTAAAACTCACAACAAAGTTGGTTTCAGTGTTTTGTGGTTTTGGGTAGTTGGCGCACGTTATATAGAGCCAAAAGTGGGTCTTGATACCAGGTCTGACTCCCTTGGTCGTACGTTCTATCTATCACCCTATGATCTTGGGGTGATCGAGCAACTTCATAATTAGAACTTGCATAAGGACGTAAGTTGTGTCTTGCTTTCCACCTTTGCTTTGGGTTGTTTTTCTCTTTGCCTGATGGGTGGAGGATTTTACTTTAGAGGAGATGAGGTTGGATTTATATTTCTTAGTCGATATGCGGTTGTTTGTTAGCTTGAACAATGCATCTAGCATCTTCGATCGCTGTAAGCCTAAAGTGTAACGAAAGGATCCTTCCTTCAGCCTTAAGATGTAAGCTCTGACCCTATTTTTGGCAAAATATTGGAAGGGTCTGCGAGCATTTTCGAGGCTTTTGGCACTGATAAATTATGCAACGAACATTCATTTGAAATCAACAAATGATGTGATTACTTCTAATGGTAATTCATTGCACCATCTGAGTGCTAACTCGCTCAACATGGTAAAGAAAAGACAACATTAGAGTGTATCAGTGATTTTTAATAAACATACAATTGACTCAAACAAAGCTATGTGGTCGACCGAATTGGTTTGCCCTTTATTGTAGGACTCTAGCGTTGAGATCTTGAACCATTCTACAAACTTAGCCTCAAAGGTTTGTCATGAGAATGCATTATTCAATACACCCAATCCACTACAAGAAGTCAACAAATTTTCATCGGCCAAATCAAATTAAACGTAAATATGAAGATATTTGGGTATTACTGTCGGATTTACACCAGACGCAAATTAAATGTAAATCTGAAGATATTTGGGTATTACTGTCGGATTTACACCAGATTTACGTTTTTTTTTTCAAGAATAATTCAGGGGTCGATAATATTAATTCCATCAATTGTGCATCGAACTATTTCTATGCAAATTTTTAGTGTCAACTTTTGCGTTGTCACAGCGTCGGACTTGTTTAGTATGCACATGCATCGGCTTTTGCATTTGAAAACATCAGACGATAAATAATATTGTCTGATTACCGTTGGATTTGTGTCGGACGAAGTTCGATGGACAACGCGTCGGATTATTGAACGCAAAACAGATGCAAATTTGACGCAAAACTCAAACGTAACAAAATTCAAAAAATCAATTACATTTAATCCACATCACATTATCATTATATACAACCATATCATAGATCAAAGCACTTAAAAATATTAATACTGAAAAAGGAGATACTATAACAAATCTAAATTATCAAAAGTTTACATCTACACCCTGATCACAATATAAGTTCAAACAAACATTTCATAAATTAAAAATACATAAAAACTCCTAATCTTCCTACTCATCCTCTTCCTTATCCTCCACCTCAACTACAACAGTAATCGTTCTCTAGCCCCAACAATCTTATATAATCTTCGTAAGGCGTGCTATGCTCTACTCAATTCTATGTTGGCTTTCACGTAGATTGTGAACCTCCTTAGTCATAACAGCGACCTGCTTAACAAGCTCCACAGTATTCGAGTTTGATGAGCTCGTACCAACCACAGAAGCACGAGAGATCTTGACCTACTTCTTTCCCGTCGTCTGCATCCATAGCTCAAGTTGAGACTGTGTATTGGTAGACTGACTACCATAACTGCTTGTAGTGCTTGAAGTCTGGGAGGACAACTGCCTCTCTCAGTGCTGCTCATACTCCTTCTACATAATAAAATCTAATTATTAATTATCTTTTTAAACATTAGGAGTTAAAATAAATATGGAAAATTTATTTTTTTACTTACTGCTAAGGTGGCTCATCATCAGCACCAGTTGTGGTCATCTGTAATAGGACTAACAACAAAAATAATAAGGATCAGTATACATAAGTAAAATGAGGAATCTGCAAAGTCTAAACAGAGAACATATTGTAACTATGTCTAAAATAAAAAAGAAAAAATATAATAAGTATGACACACGTAGCAAAAGCAAACAAAAAGTTCATGGATATATTTGTTTCAAATTTTTTCTCTTAGTCTAAAGCAATTAACATGAGTCTAAATGAACTTACTTTTATACTTATTTTATAGGCTAACATTCTATACCATAAAGCATTGCAAGCCTCATCATCATCTTATAAAATTTATGTTAGATCTAAGTGGTACTTTTTTATGTACAATAGGTCTTATGTATTCCTTCATTGCAACCATCCAACTTGAAGAAAGCATAAAACTAAAATCTACATTAAGATAAGTATAGGGTAACCCATTAAGCCTAGGGTTCTAACCTTTCAACCTTGACCTTTCCACTCAACTCTCTCTTCCAATTTAAGTTAACATAACCTACGACTACAATGACAAAAAATAGTGTTAAAACTTAAGATAAACTTAAATTAATAAAATTTCAACATAAAAATCATCTAAATACTAACCAAACAATCCCCATACTATATTTAATTCCAAACATAAACTCAAGCAAAACTACATAATTTAAAATTCAACAAACTTAATTTAAAGCCCATAAATGAATTTATGCTAGTATATCATAAACTAAAAAAAGAAACTTAAAATCAAATCTTAATTTAACTTCATTCAACGTAGAACTAAACCTAAAATCTACATTACTCCAAACCTAATCTTAAAAGAAGAAAGAAGATCTCACCATCATGGGTTTGAAGACAGCCTCCATCTCACTAAGTCCTCTATACATGAATAAGAAAATTTATGAGCTGGTAACTCCTTATCTTTAAGCTTTTCTCCAAGCTTTAAGTAGAAATCAACTTCGACTTTGAAGAGAAAGAGATGGAGAGGAATTTCATTCTCATTATCTTTATAAAGTGGTTAAGTAGATCTCACTTACAATAAAATGAGAGAACGAAGTAGAGGATAAGGGGGAAGAGCTCTCTCCATAATTTTTCCGCTCTAAGCTCTCCAAGCTGCTCTAAAAGTAATTCTCACAATATCTCAAATACTCCTCACATTATTAAATATATCTAAAAGCTAACTAGAACACACGATAGTAGGCCTACCACCTTGACACTATTTAGGGTATCGTAAGCATCAAGCTATGTTTAGTTTTGTTGTTTCAAATCCTCTTAATGGATGAAGCTCCAGATGGACGTTTGGGAATATGAAAAGTTGCTTGAGCTTAGAATATGTTCTAAGAGTATTTAAAATATAGTCAGCAATAATTTATATAAAATCTAATACTAAAAGATGGACCCTCAGATAATCTTAAATTTTTACATACATACCACTAAACACTTTTGTATATACATACCTAACACTAAAACTTCAATTTTTACAGGCATACCACATTACGTGTGTGTGTGTGTGTGTGTGTGTGCGCGCGTGTGCGTGTGTGCGTGCGCGTGTGTATATATATGTATATATATGTATATATATGTAGTGGATAGAAGCCTAGTTGGCATTATTTGATACATTTCATACATATCTCTAAATTCTTATGTATATACACACCTAATATCTAAACTTACAATTTTTACGTACATACCATTGAACTTTTATATATATACATACCATACACCAAAACTTCAATTTTTACTTACAAACCACATTACCTATGAAATATCATACACATAAGCCTGAACATCAATTTTTACATGCATACCACATATGAATAGAAATAATGGTGCCAATAGACCTACCTTCTTCAATGTTTTTTTGATAGGAGCGGAGTTGAAGGATGAGGGGAGTTTCGGTGGTTTCTTTAAGCACTATGCGGTCGTTCCCTCCCAGCTAGTCTAGTGGCGATTATCTCGCAAAGGTTTGTTTGGGAAGGCAATGGTTTTGATCGAAACCGTAAGGTCGAGGGAGAGGGAAAGAGGAGAGGAGAGGGAAAGAGGCGAGGGAGCTTGAGAGGGATTTGGGAAGAAGAGAGCGTGAGACGAAGAGAGAAAAAATGAAATTTAGGCGGGCGAGATGAGTTATTTAGGTTATTTGAGTCGAATTTTTATTTAATTTGAGTCGAAAAATATTTGACGCTAACATGAAAAGTTTTTACGTCGCTTTATTTAACACAACTTCGACGCTAACATCATCGCAACTCCGGTTGATGTTTCACCGTTTTCAGAATATTTTTTCTGTCAAAATTTTTGATGCAAACAGGACACAAAATGTATAGCAAAGATCAAAACTTATTTCCGCCACTTAACAACCGCAAATTCGACGCTAAGATTTACGTCCAAAAATTCCAACGCAAATTTCAGACGCTAATACCAGCTCCTCCTGTAGTGATCGATGTCCATCAATCAGTACAAACCCAACACTCTTAAAGTACAGAGAGTCCCCTTTTCTCTCAAGGTTGGAGGGATTCTTCTATCTTCGGGCACCAGACCTTCATCCCGGAGTGCTAATCTATCTCCTCGGTCAATGCACCTCCAATGACATCCCACATCAGATCCATTAGCTCATGGATCTACCAAGCCATGAATGCTCTGGTGCGCTCCATGTTAAAGATGTCTTTGTTATGAGGTTCTTCTCCTCGAGCTACCCTCTTCTTGTTTGTGGTATGATCCACACTCACCACACATTTTAGGATATTGAATATAGAATACGAATAGAGTATAATAAGGAGTGATAGAGATAGAGAGAAAGAGAGAGATAGATAGTAAGAAACAGTAATCAATTATGTCTTATTTATAAAATATTTCTCCTATTTATAGAAAAAATTGTGCAAAGATGATATTAATTTTTTTTTCCTCAGTATGGAAGGGGTCTGTACTAGGCTATTTCTGATATTTTACATGCATTAGCTTATCATCCAGTTGCTTTGTGGCTCGATTGGCTAAGCTTTGATGGCTTCAGGTCAAAGGGATCAGCTTGATTGACTGAGCATAGTCGACATCGATCGATCAGCTATTGTAACCTAGTTGTAAATCATTGATCCCTGACGTGGAGCTTCTAGGGTGTTCATGAGATGGTTAGAGATATTGTGGAACTCAATCTTCCCTTGGATCGGCCTTACTGGAGGGTTAGACTACCCTATCGCTTCAACTATCTTTATAGTTGTTAGTTTGACTGCTCTTTCGTCTCATTTCTAGTCGAATATCCCGTGGTTCAATCTTCTAGTCATCTTTTTGTCTGCCTCATTGTTTGGCCGATTTTGACCTTGTTGCAGGTTTGTACGGCTTCGGTCGGTCGGGCAAGTGGGCCTCACGATCTTCTGGCAGTGAGTCAATCATTACTTTACTCACCTCTTCTGGACCATTGAATCTCTTTAAGATCGGCGTTGACACATTCTTGATGTACAATCTTTATTTGTCATGTAGCAATTCAAATGCATAGTACATTAATTAATTATTTGAAAATAAAATAAAAAATCTCAAGACATGGTATTCCAACACATAACCAAAAAATAAAAAAAATATAGCAAACCTCATTTAAACAGTTGGATTGAAGAAGCTCGACACATTTTTCCTGTGGAAGCTCAAAAACGAAATCTTATGAGAAGAGCAGATCTGGGATGGAAGCCGTTTATTTTCTTAGAACAATGAATACTACCTACATAACTTCAAGCTAAAAAAAAAAAAAATCATTCTAAGTGCCACCACATAAACAAGTCTAAAATATAATTCCACTTTCATTTTATAAGTAAAATACAATTCCAATACAAAGCTTCGTACTCAAACCGTATGTCCCAATAAATTTCAGTAAATTATAAAAAAATAAAACAAAATGCTAATAAAAGAAAAACAGTTTAGTTGATTCATTCCACAAAATAAAAAGAGAAACGCCAAACGCCTGCCTTAATGTAAAAATGAATCCCAGTCTTTGTTAAAGAGAAACAGAAGATACAAATCTCCTCGTTTCTATAACGCAGTATGCGAGTTTAATTTGAAACCTTCAGCAACATTTAAATGCATGAAGCTTACATGTAACTTACAGGCTCTACCCAATCTGTATATAAATCAGCCTCTCCAACTCATCCACCAAGCCAAAAAAAGAAAAAAAAAAATTTTTTTTTTCTCATAAAACCAGAGCACACATCTCACATCAACAATGGCGAAGTCAGTAGGAGTAGTTTATGCCATCCTTCTCCTCTTTGTTGTCAGCACAACGATGCCAAGAGCATCATCACTCCAGCTTCTACCTGACATCTTGAAGTGCTGGAAGGCTATCACCGAGGTCGAAAACTGTGTGGTAAAGCTTATACCTTCCTTCCTGAGCCTGAACATAAAACTCAGCCAAGAATGTTGCAAGGCCATCACAGACATTGAAGATGGTTGCCTACCATTTGTGTTTACGTTCCCTGTGATTGGCGCCCAGTTGTCGAACATAACCTCGACTGTTTGTGGGATTTTGGCTGATCCTTCGCACCCACCAATGGCAGCGTAGGGTGTTTTCTAGCCCTTTTATAATAAGGAGCTTGCTCTTCAAATGTTGATTGTAGGAGCATTGATTGAGTAAGAGTTTAGTATTGGTGGTTTTCATCTGTTGATTTAGATGAAGATCAGTTGTCATGTTGTTCTCATGAGAACAAAGAATTTGCAGACTTCTGCTTTGCTTAATTCAATAGTTTTTTTTCTTTTTCTATCTTGCCTGTTGGAACAGCTTATATGAAAATTTTGTATGAAGGTCGCCTATCATTTATAGTATTTGATGAGAATGTGAATCGATTTCATTATATAGAACAAATTAACCCAATCAATCAATATTATAGTTCGGTTAAGGATCTTTATTTGTTAAGTTAGAAAAGTCAGTAATCAAATGCCATAAGACCATAAAGCCTGTGTACGTTAACTTTTTTCATTTTAGTAAACTAATTAACTTACCAGCCCAAAGTTTAGTAAACTATTAAATGAAAACTTGATAATACAAAAGATAGAACGTTTGGCTTTCGAAATGAAAACTCCTGATTTTATGAAAAATCTATTCCTACATTGTTTAATAAGGAAAAAGTATACAAAAAGTCTTGTGTGTTCATGGAAGCTGTCTTCTTTGCAAAATTAGACACTTCACAACCTCTTCCAAGCACATAATCATCATCAGTCTTGTGTGTCCATGTGATCATCAACTTTTATGACTTCACATTCCATGCTCAAGTCCTCCATCAGCCTAAACGGATACATCTGATCTCGTTGTGCCAGTTACAAGTAACTTGAAGATGAGAGCAGATGAATTTGGTAACACAGATATCAAATAATGGGAGTGAAGACTGGAAGGCATGATAGTAAATTTTCCATAGCTAGAAGAAGTAATGTGATCAGGAAAATTTAAGAGAATATGAGCATTTTCTTGAAAATGAAGAAAAATTTCATGTCTAAATGGAATTCAAGGGACTTTAAAACCTTATTGTGTAACCCTGCAGTCTTTAAAGACTTTTATGCGAAAGAACTTATAATACAACAATGTGAATCAAATTACTAAATAATTCATAATACAGATTATAGAAAGTTTATAGATAATAGAAAATTTGTTCAAATTTACCCATTCATATATGGATAAGTTTTCTTCAGCTATATGGTAAAATTTGCACCTTTCAAAAGAAGATAAAAAAACAAATGAACTAAAATTTTCTGATCGACTAACCTTGCAATTTGCAGTGAAGTGAAAACAATTCTATCGAAATGTCAGTAAGCATAAGGTGCCAGTATTGTTTGATTCTGTTTTGATAACTGGTTGATTACTGTAAAAAAGCTCTTAAAAAGGCAAAAAGGCAATAATACAATCTGTAATATACTTACTAGGAAGATTGTGAAGATTAATCACAAGTAGTCACTATCAGTTTACTTCTGATTGTTGTATTTATGGCTTTTATTTAATGGATATATTACAATTGATTTGTGTTGAATCCAAAACTGTCCAGTAAACCGTACCTAAGGAATAGAGCATGAGAAGAAAAATGTCGGGGAGAGAGAGAGAGAGATTGCCCTCATGGGGGTGAATCGGGTGTTCCCAGGCTCGTGGACTCATTTATTCCATAAAAATAGAACTTATTAGTGAGGATAGCAAAAAAACCCTTTATATAAAAGGATCCTCCTATTTATAGATGATAGGAGGACCTAAAAGTAACTTACAATATTACCCTTGCTTTAAAAATGGATAGTACATGATATTTTAGTCCTTTTTGTTGGTGTGTTCTACTGGGTACCTGTCCTTCTTCTGAGTCCTCCGTCTGGAGAAAAGTCCTTCATCTGAGTCCCCCGTTGAGAGGAAAGTCCTCGACCGAGGGTAGCTAATTTCTAATTCAACGAGAGTAGACTGAAGATTGCTATGAGATCCATGTAGACCATTTTGAGTATACATATTACGTTCTCAAATTTTCTTGTTTCTTGATAGCGACACCTGCAATAAGAATAATGAAATTTATAAACTAAACACATCTTGAACACATAATTTACTAATCATACTCATTGCTATGCGTTTTTCGTGCTCGGTTCTAATATCTTTATCGTCATCTGCCACTGGATCTATCGTTCCAGAGTTTTTCTGTCAAGGAAGAAGTCAGGCTCAGGTGGCTGATCGGAGAAAAAAGTCCTCTATCAAAGGGAAAAGTCCTTCGTCGGGGGAAATAAACTTCCTTCGAAGGGAAAAATCCTCAACAGAGGAGAAAATTGGTCATCAGAGTCCTTTGTTTGTTTGCCTATCTTGCGGAAGAGTTCAAGAATTGCTCTCTCTAGAGGGAATTCCTATAGTCGTTCGCTCCAGAGTAGAGTTATGGAGTTGTTCACCCCAGAGTGGTGTCCTGGAGATGTTTGCCCTTGGGTGATGTCCCCGAGCAGTTCGCCCCGGAGTTGAGTCTTGGAGCTTTTCGCATCGGGGTGGTGTCCTGGAGCTATGCACCTCTCGCGGAGCTTGTCCCTGCAGGGTGTTAATTTTTTTGCACCCCTTGTGGAGCTTATCGTTGTCGGGTTTTAGAAATTTTTGCACTCATGCGGAGCTTATCCTTGTCGGGTGTTAGAATTTTTTGCACCCCTTGCAGAGCTTGTCATTGTTGAGTATTAGATTTTTTTTGCACCCTCGCAGAGCTTGTCACTGTTGGTTAGATTTTTTTTTTTTTGCACCTCTTGCAGAGCTTGTTGCTTCTAGGTGTTAGAATTTTCGCAACCCTCATGGAGCTCATTGTTGTCGGGTGTAAATTTTTTTTTTTTGCACCTTTCGTGGAGGTTGTTGTTGTTGAATGTTGGAAATTTTTGCACCCGTCGTGGAGCTTATCGCCACTAGGTGTTAGAATTTTTTACGCCCCTCTTGGAGCTTGTCGCTGCTGGGTATTATTTTTTTTTTTGCACCCCTCACGGAGCTTTTCGCTATCGGGTGTTAGAATTTTCGCACCCCTTGAGCTTGCCACTGTCGGGTGTTAGATTTTTTTGAATTGGTTCAAGTATATATATATATATATATACATACATACATACATACATACATACATACATACATAACTAAATTTCTTTCTAATCAGCTGAGGCACCTACCCTCCAACGTGACAAAACTGAGAAGAAGAAGAAGAAGAATTGGTCAAAGAAAAGTGATAGCAGCGACACTTCTCAAAAGCGGTGCAAGTCTCGTGGGTGCAGTTTTGAAAAAAATTTGTGTGTTCTCTGCGTAGACACTGGTCATTGCAAGAAAGATTGTCCAAAGATGAAGGAAAAGAAATGAACTTTCATCTAAGGCTAAAGCTAATGTCATTGTGGAAAGATGTGAAGAGGTAGATTCAGATGTATCGTTATTTGTAGTTTCTCACAGTATTTTTATAGATGATTCATGTTGGATTTTGGAAACAGGTGCTACCTATCAAATTTGTACCCATTGTGGGTGATTTTATACATATAAGGAGCCGGATAGTGTTGCAGTGACTATGGGAAACGATCAAACTTGTCACACTAATGGTGTAGGGAGTATCTTTATAAGGATGCATGATGGTATAATGAGTGATCCGACTGATGTTAAACATGTTCCATGTATCAGGAAGAATTTTCTATCAGTTGGGGCTTTAGAGACTAGGGGCTACAAGGTAATTATTGAGGCAGGAGTTCTGAAGATATGTCGTGGACCAATAATTTTTATGAAGGGAGTTCATCATCACAACCTTTGCTATCTTTAGGGTAGTACGATGACTTGAACAACTATTGTTGTTGATAATTACTCTAACGCCACTATGTTGTGGCATATGCATCCAACTTATAATGGAGAAGCTTCACTTCAGACTTTGGGGAAGGAAGGATTTATCAAGGGAGCGAGCACCTACAAACTTAATTTTTGTGAGCATTGTGTTTGATAAGAAAACACGGGTACCTTTTAGGACTACCATTAATAGTACAAGAGTTATTTTAGACTATGTTCACACAGATGCTTGGGGCCCAATTAAAACAATATCATTCAGCGGGCGAAGAAACTGTCTCTTTTATTGATGATTACTCTTGCTATGTTTGGGCGTACAACATGCAGCGCAAAAAAAAAAGTGTTTGAGATTTTCATAA